GGTTACGTTGTCTTACGTACGGCAGTCAGACATTGTGAGCTCAACCCCGTTGTGTCTATCTTGGCTAAATGTACAGGGTTCGTGACGGGACATAACACAACATTCAAAAGTACAGATTCATATACGTCATCAGCGGCGATAAATGCTACCCCAAGAAACCATCTGTAGAACAACAAATACTTCTGGATTCCAAAACCTCAACCTTCAATACTCATCCCGTTTCAAAGCTCTTAACTAGTCCATCATGTTTCCAAGCAAATATAATGCAGTACATATCCTTAATTGCTACCTCATCAACGCATGTCATTTAAGTACAATAACAGCAATATTCTGAGACCACCCCCAACTCGGTGACATTTGCACCTGGGAGAATGCACGGGACTGTGTGAGGACTTCACCTCGGGTTAGGTGTTAGGTAATAAATTCAGGTTATAGGCCATTTTATACATGCATGACAACAGACAATATTTTCTAAGTGTATCATCATTTTACCTGTAAAAGTACATTTAAAGGGTAATCACAGTGGCAGTTAGGACAGGCTAGATTAGGGCAATTCGCGTTATTTTGAGATATGCTCTTTTTATAGTTCTATGACTCGTATTTATTAAATAAAGCCACAAAAGCAGTTTTCTAGCATTTCCGACAGTTCTTTAGTGACAGTTTTCATTTGCAAGTAATATTTGGCATTATTCAGAAGTAGGTCTCACATCTAGGAAGAGGCGACCGTTATAATCTCTGTCACCCCAGCGTCCACTATCAGTCCGGAGGCTCCGACATTTTGGAATGAGGAATGCTTGATCCAGGTTATTGTGCTTGTTCCATCTATTACTATCATAGTGAGCGCTTCCTCCCTGTGCCAGCCATTGAGGATTGATGGTGACAGTAGTGTCAGTGTATACACCGCCTACTGTCAGACTCAAAGTGAAAAAGACCTGTGTCCATTTCATTTTCTGTAACATATATTCCATTCAATGAAATTATTTATTTACAATTCAGCTACCTTGTTTCATTTTATTTTCGAAACATATTTACTATTAACAATAAAACGGGCTCTTAACATAGATATATGTGGTATAATATCATTCAAGTCAGCATGATGCATACAGTAAAATATATGTGCATATCAAGTACGTGACACTGTAGTTGTAAATGTTTCCACTGATCTGTTTATTGAGATGAGCTGAGATGTTAATCATTTGATGTTGGACACTGGTCCCTTACAGCATACACAAAATACATTGATTATATCCATTGACACCACGTGTAGTTGGCGCCATTTGAACATTTTGGTATTTTTTAATTAAAAAGAGATGTCGATTCTTTGTTATATTATACAATACCTTACCTCTACAATAATAATGTATTACAAAAATGATGTGAGAGAGACTTGATCGGGACTTCGGACAGGCAGGTTGGATGCCTAACGCTTCGAAGATGCTCCATGGCCATTGCGGTTCGATTATCATTGCACAGCTGTATTTTTTGTATAACGAATGAAAGTGTTTTGGACCCAAAGTTGGACTGCGGTGTTTGAAAGACAGACATCCAAAGCCATTTACATCAGTATTCCTAACCTGCCCAGCCGCTGCATTCTACTTTTTACCCTAAAGCGAATCACTGTCAGACCGGCACGTATCACATTACGTTTCTTGCATCGCCAGCCTGCAGTATCCCGCACCTCATTCACGCCATGGAATTAACGCAGCTGCTGTTATCAAATTTGGAAATATACAAAACCTGTATAAACTCCCTCTTTAACCCAACCCCATATCCCGCCAAAGTACCTGCGATGTAATATTATATTTCCTGTCTGTAAAACCAGTAGTCCATGTATGGACATACATCATTCACTCTGGCATGAATGTAACATACACAAGGCATACTCACAAGACGTTCCAAGTTCGACTGGTCTGCACAGTACGAGCTGGAGTCTATGTGGTAAGATGTGGTTAGATTTCATGGAAATTATTGGTGACCCTGAACTACCGTTCTATAAATGTTTGCTTATGATAAGAACATGCGTTGGTATGTAGGTCAGGTGACAGGATAGCCTTGAGATAAATGCATGTCGCCCTCTCACTCGAGACGTTATGCAAAAGATAACTATATCACCCTAATACATTAACATTGTATCACACAGTCTTTATTTATAATAATTTCCCTGTCACATGGAAGTCACAGATATTGCAAAATACCTACGCGGACCACAAACAACCATTGCTGTAATTCTCAAATGTGTTATTTCAGCGATGATCCAAACGCTTGCTAAGGGAAAACTTGGTTGATTGCATGTCTATTGTGTATTATCAGCTCAAGGCGAGAAAGACCAGTGTCCATTTCAATACAACTTAAGTGTAATGACTTACGGTACTTGTTGATGGCGCCTTATTATTATGCTTGACAGCTCGGTGACTTGCTTAATAGTTATTATGTATTATCAGCTCAGTGCGAAAAAGACCTTCCACCAGCCTGTAAATAATCGAATATGAACAATCCAGTCATTGATGCTATATGCAACGATCCCGCTGCAAGGGTACGTTTACAAGCCATCAGCCAAGTCCCCGAGCCTGACCACCCGATCCATCAAGTTGCCTCTGACCATCATCATAGGTTGCGATCCCTTAGGCACGCCAGAAACCTATAATTGTAGGTTCGAATCCCGGTTCGGCCCGGTTATGCTTCTAGGTTTGTCAGCACCTTACCCGTGCTCGTGGGTTTCACCGAAGTGGTAAATGTCTGAGACCTGCACCACTTCGGGCTTACCTCCCACATTAAGCTGACACGCCGCGATATAACTGGAATACTGTTAAAAAGTGGCGTTAAACCCAACTCACTCACTCACTGTATTGGTATCAATTTGCATGTTGCAACAAACAAGTGATTATAAGATGTATTATGATTACAAAAAAGCTTATACCATTCAAATTCAAAATACCTTCTCACACAATATTTCCAGGATATAATAAATCATTATGATTATTATATATATATATTATGTATTCAACACTTAAACCACTCGAGGAGCTCATGAGTGCATTTAAAGTATCGTTTTCTACAGTTCTATGTAAACTCAGAACTCAAGTCCAAGCAGTGTCGTATCTTCCACTCTACATCAGTTCCGAATAAGTTGTCACAATATTCCTGGTGATTTCCGTCACATATTCGAGACCCGTTTGGGAGACTTTGAAACTGAAACACTGATTACATTTTCCCCCGATGTATATTGCATTAAACGAAACGTAAAACTGAAGAGCTTATAACTTTCTTACGGAGGTTGCAGCAAAATTGCATTACATTCTTGTACTGCATTTGGCATGTATTTTCCCGAAACCGGAAGTAACGTTATTATAACGGAAGTCCTTATAAGTTAGGGGAATGGGACTTTGTTTTTAAGCTATCTGAAAGCAAGGGGATTTTTGTTTGAAAGTGCTACTGCATTGGGCATGTGTTTTCCCGAACTGGAAGATACGTTACTGAACCTGAAGTGCTTGTAACTTTGTTATTAAGATATTTAGAAGCATGGGACTTTCTATTTCAATGTTATCCTGAATAGGGCATGTGTTTCCGTAAGTGATGTTACTAAAACCAAAGTGCTTATAATTGTGTTAGTAAGGTACACGTAGCTACAGGCATACATACATATATGTTTCGGTTTCAAAGTCGTACTTCATTAGGAATGTGTTGTCTCAACCCGGCACTGATGAAGGGAATGATTATCACTTTAGTATTATGGTAACTCTCTGGCTAGAGGCAAGGGCGTTTCTGTTTAAAAGTTATACTGCCTTAGGCATGTGCTTTCTTAAACAAGAATTGATATTATTAAACTTGAAGTGGTTATAGCTTTATTATTAAGGTACATAGAGGTAAAGGACATTCAAAGTTGTACTGTATTGGGCATGTGTGAGTTCAACTGGCACCCGTCAAAAGTCACAATGGTTCATGATACTTGTTTTTTAATGGGAAGGTTTAGGGGGTATTTCAAGAACAGGTGAGGATGGCACTGCTTCTGTTTTTGCATGCAATGGAAACCTCATTCTAGTTTTCCTCTCTATATTTGCATGTTTGAGATTATACCTAACAATTATGGTAAGGAAATGAAATTTAGAAACACTTATTTCGCTAAACATCATGTCTTGTTTAATTCATAATAATGATAATTGTGGATATAATGTTTGAGATTTATAATTCGTCCATGTTGGAGGACACAAGATTGGGTGTGATGAGGCCAAGTGAGAGGACGTATCCTTCTTGGTCGATGTTGGATAAGTAAACCCCGACGAGGTTATAAGTGATGGTTAAGAAATAGGTAGGAACAAGAAACCTATTATATTTACTGAATATCTGACAGTAACATGTAAAAGCTGTTTATTGTTTATAGCTGTTGATAACATATTAAAGTGAGATGTAATGTGCTATTCTATATTCTTTGCTAAAACGTTTCGCACACGGTATTTGATAACCAGCACAAACTATAATCTTTTAATGTTATATTAAGCTTTGTAATCCGTTATGTGATAATACTTTGTGTACGTGAGGTATAAATGTTGATCGTGAAGATGCCCTTATTATAAAGTTATAGAACTACCGACAAAAATTATAAAACCCCCACAAGGGAAATGACACTAAGTAGGGTGTATAGAAGGATTTATCAGATCTGTAATAAATAAATAGCAGCAATTTGAAGTCATTGCGTCTAAGTATAGTTCTCTGGCTGGTGTACCACTCTATAACACCTATAATAGTAATAGCAATAGTCCAATGTCTTCCTTTAGTACTAACAATGGCATCAAGCTTGATTACAATTTTCTGAAAACATGTCACTCAAGGAAACACCCTCATTACTTCCAATCAATAGCTTAAAGGTATCAGCACAGGAAGGTTATAATATAAAGGGAATCTCCATGATCCGTATCACCCACGGGGTTACCAGGCCTACCATCAGATCACCTCCTAGGAACACAATAACAAATATATGATACACTTTAATCAATGCCACCTTATTATTTTGCAGTATTATCCTAATCATTATTTAGTATCGGATGGGAGGAGCTTGGCTGTGACCAGGGCTACCGAAGTCACGTATCCTTTAGCCTGCTTGTTGGAGAAGTTAACCTGGACCGTGATAGAAGTGGTGTTCAACAAGGTGGAATGGACATCAAACTCCCAAACATCCATGAAGTTGTAGATTTGACTGTTCTGTTTGTCTGAGTCGAACAGCTTGTAAAAGAAATAAAGAGGTTGGTGGTTAAAGGTAACAGATGACAGACTGTTTGTTTCATTGATGGGAAGACTTGTTGAAACTCGCAGTCTTGCGCTGTCGAATTCATCTTTTGGAAGTAATATGGTCGTCACAGCAATGCTGTCCTTGATAGGTATAATGATATCACTTCCGTAGTATGTTGTTTCATTGAGAATGACTTTAGGTAATTGGCTTGAGGGGGTCTTGAATGTATAACGACATGTTGCTTCGGGTGGAAGTGTAACCATTCCCCGAGTGTCACCGATGTCTAAGGGTTCGTTGAAGGTGATGACTGGATACCAGTTGTCCTTGAGTGTGATGCAAGTAGCTTCTCCCGTTGTTGGTGTGATCCAGTCTTCTTGGAAAACTAGCTTGACGTCCTGTGATTGTTGAGAATAGCTGTGTAAGAGAATGACAGTTTCATTATGCAAGGAACTTGACATTGCTAATGGTGACACAGTTCGTTCTTGTACGTCACATTGGCTGGCGGTTCTGATGAAGGAATACTCTGACGTGAAATTGTACCAGAATTTGAAGACATCGACAATACGTGTGGCGTTTCCTTGGCGGGTGAAAAGTGACCGGTTGAGACTATCATGTCCTGGATATTGTTGATTGGACAATAGAAACACCACTGTTTTGTCAATGTATTCTCTGAGACCAAGGTGGGTGAATCTATGGGCATTAGACTGGTATATTGTTGCAAAGTCGACTATCCCAGATGGAGCTGTTGAGCTTATTCCCGTCACTTTCCCGCGACCATATTCACTGATAATGAGAGGTATAATCCTTCCCGTCTTTTGATGAACATAGTTTTCAAGCAGGTCGACAAAAGCTACTAGACGCGCTTCATTTATACCAGTAAATCGGTGAGATTTCCCCGAAACAATAAGTGAGTTGTACGAATGAAAAGAAAACACGTCCAAATAGCCTAAAGTTATGTCCATGAAATCGACCAGTTTCGTCCAGAACGAAAAGTCGTTCCTGTCTACCACTGTGTTATATCCCGTCATTGTCGGGCCAGTCACTTTGATGTGAAACCTAGAATGGAGTTTCTCGGCAACTGTTTTGTGGAATAAGGCTACAGTGGTCGTGAAATTCATTATTTGCTCTTTAACATCTGGTTCGTTGACGACCTCGAAGTATGGCGGTATGTGACCTTGTGTGTAGTCATAGACTCCTTGTAGCATCAACACGATAAACTCTGCAGCAGCATCGATGTTGTTTGGGAATTGGCCCTCATGTTCGGATTGGTTCATCCAGTCTGGCCAGTTGAGAGCTGAAATATGCAAATACAACGAAACATGACACTGACTGAAATGCATCTATGCTTCTTCTACAAGAGTATACGCATGTATTTTAGTTTTAAAGGCAAAGTTAATCTTCTTAGAAGAGAAACAACACGCCAAACTGATTATCTTATACATGGATTTTTTAATTGCCTTTAATAACTAGCTTTTCAAGACATCTTACATGTCTAAATGACTCTCACACCAATCATTTGTACCTTCCCCCCAGAGTACGTCTAGTATTTTTGGCTTTTCCTACTACCAATTGCCAAAAGATAGAACTTGAAACCTAACCTCATTACTTGCCACATGCATCTGCACATCATCTTCCTCTTTCCATTCCGGGGGCACGGGTTGCCCAGTCGTCTAAAGCGCCGCGATTCGCTGTACAGAGTTGCGTCCCTTGGGCACGCCAGAAACCTATGATTGGGGGTTGGAATCCCGGTTCGCCCTGATTATATTTCTAGGTTTGTCAGCACTATACCCGTGCTCGTGGGTTTCACCGAACTAATAAACGTCTTAGACCTGCATCACTTCGGGCTTTCCTCCCACATTAAGCTGACACGCCGCGATATAACTTGAATGGTGTTATAAGCGGCGTTAAACCCAACTCACCCGCTCACTCTTTCCTTTCCACAGAAGAATGTAAATGTGTGATCTTGACATTCACTTACGATGGACGATGGAGCTAGCAGCCTCCGCAATATAGCTGGAATATTGCTAGGTTCGGCGTTAAACAGTATGTGATGGAACAAGAACACACTCATCTGTCTATGGGACATCTGACCACTTCATTGCAGAAATTCGCGACTATGTCTCATTCTCGAAATTATTTCTTTCATCGTGTTTGGACTTTTTGCTGCTATTATTGTTGTGGCACGTGATAAAGAAATATAAACACATCCACGGCCGTTTTAATTATGTTAACTATCGCATAACTGGTCGTGCCTTTCTTCATCATGATTATTTCGTTACCAATCAAATAACGCTTTTGTTTCCGATTATTCTTACCATTCATCACCATGATCATTTCGTTCTTATAGCCACTGTCAATGTCAGCAAGGTAGTTGGAGAATAGTTCCTGTTGCTTGCTGATGTTCTTTAGGTAGTTGGGGTCGGGGTAGCCGCTACGGTGTGCGTCCTCTGGCCACTATACAATGAACAAGTTAATATTATATACAACCCATTTCATGCCACTGACGGTTCACGGAAATAACATGTATCACAGTATTAATACATTAAATTGTGTACAAAATGCAAGAGTTATATTCCAAAGATGCTCATTTGTTACTCAATATCAAACAATAAACATGTAAACAATTTCACTCATCACGCCGAAGACCGGGTTCGATTCCCGATATGGGCACAATGTGTAAAGCCCATTTCTGGTGTCCCCCGCCGTGCTTTTGCTGGAATATTGCTAAAAGCGCCGTAAAACCATACCCACTCACTAATGCTCTTGACCTACATGTAGGTTTCTCCACATCAGTCTTAATTACTTCACTTGTCTTGTCTGAGATGAACATGGGACATCTTAGAATTATTGTATATCCCAACGAAATATAGACATTGACTCTTTAACATGGTGTCTTTTGCCTTAGCTTGAGGTTGATCTCAACATTCAATTTCATCCCAACACCATCATGCATCTGAGCAATATCACCATAGCAATATATTTGTCAAGTAATGTCTGTTTGCAATACATGTAACATTACTGTCAAAACGTACTTTTGAAACCATAACTACGACATTACAGTATGAGCAAATGAAAACCATCAGTTTCTGTCTAATATGTGACGTGTTGGGACAACATACAGAATTGAGTTAGAAAGAAATCCCACTTCTTTAAAGAGACTAAAATCTTCGTGTATCCAGCGCCCACTGGTTGTTGCAGACTTACGCTAACCCAGAACCTCCACGTGTAGGCTCATCAAGTCATGAATGTTTATCCTAATGACATAAAGACATAATTATAAAGCACTGTCTAATATATGAAGTACAAGGTAAAAAAATCGAATTGGAAAGAAAATCTCACATCTTGGAAGAGACGATCATTTAGATCTCTGTTCATCCAGCGCCCACTGTCAGTCCGAATGCTCCGACAGTTTGCAATAAGGGACTCCTGTTCCAGGCCGTTATGCTTGTTCCACCTGTCACTCTCATAGCGAACTCTACCTCCCTGTGCCAGCCACTGAGGGTAGATCGTCACCGTCGTGTCACTGTACACACCGTCTGTAATCAGACTCAAAGCGAAATAGGCCTGTGTCCATTTCATTGTCACTGGAATATAATGTATCATCAGACTTGAACAGCTTTAATGATAAGAATTCACGAGAATTATTTGTGACGTTCCATAAATGTGTGTACATGATAAGAACATGCGTAGGTATGTAGGTGTGGTGATACTATGCCTTGAGGTAAGTGAATGCCACGCCAGAAGGGAAGATGTGTATATTACACCAATACACTAACATTGAAAAGACAGCCCGATTTATACGAAAGTCTAAACCGATATTCCAAAATACCTGAGTGGACTATTTTGCTTTCAGAAAGCTCTTGCTGTTCTTTTTATATGTGTTATTTCCCTGATGATCTAAACGCTTGCTTAAGGAAACAAACGCATAAGACGGTGACCGTTTGGTGTAACAATATTTGTAAAGGCAAGTATGTCAAGCCCTTATCATCCAGGCCATGTGCTTGTTCCACCTGTCACAGTCATAGCGAACACTACGTCCCTGTGCAAAATAGATACAATTTACATGATTTCCAGAATGTTGATTCATCATCATCATGTTTGACAATCAGTCTGGCCCAGACTCCATTATTTACCAACCACCGTCATATAGCTCTGATGTTGCCGAATGTGGCGTGAAACAACAAATAAACAAATGTTTCTCTAAGCCTCCCAGTCAACACACAAAACTGCATATCTCCAGTAATTATTTATTTTCACGTAACAGAGCCAGTTATTGGTATAAGCATATCAGTGCCTTATTATGAGGTTTCAATGAGAGTGGCACTTTGTAGTTTGTGTGAGGGGGCCTTGCCTCATGAGGAAGTTCAACCATTCTTTGTGTTTTCTGTATGTTAAAGGGCCCGTTGAAGGTTACGATGAGATACAGTTGTCCTTGATGGTGACGCAGGTAGCTCATCCAGTGGCTGGTTTGATCCTGTCGTCTTTACAGTCACAGTTTGTGCCAATTTCGTTGTGCTAACCTCGACATGGTTCGTTCCTGTGCATAATACTGGCTGGTAGTTCGAAAAAGGAGTAGTCTGACGTGAATTTGTACAAAACTCGAAGAACGTCCACCATACATGTACCTGTGGCATTTCTTTGAAAGTGAAAGTGAATAGTTCAGACTATCACGTCCTGGATATTTTTGCATTGGCTCCATTAAGTATCACTGTTTTATCTGCAGTGTGGGACCAGCCACTTTAATGTTAAATCTGGCAATAATTTGTGGAAGTGGCAAAAGTAAAATTTCAGATGTCAGTCTTAGTGTCCGGTTCATTTATGGGATCGAAGTAGGGCGGGTTCTCTCCTTTGGTATTGTCATATACTCCATATATATATATATATATGTTCGGACTGCTTCGTCCAACTTGCCCAGTTATGAGCTAAAAGCCAATACATAATGGAATATGAAACTGATCTAAAAAACAATAAAAAAACCTATGTGCTTTCCATGTTTGTTGTCTTAACATAATATGCAATCGTTGTTCTTTACGACTGAGTGAGTGAGTTGTCTTTAACGCCGCTTTGAAAAGCATTCCAGTTATATCACAGCGTTTCAGCTTAATGTGGGAGAAAATCCCGACGTGGTGCAGGCTTAAGACGTTCACCTCTTTGGTGAAAATTATTTTTGTGATGACAAAACTTGAAACGTAATCGGGGCGGACCAGGATTCGAACCCCTGACCAACGGTTTCTGGCGTTCCCAAGAGATGGAACCCTGGACAACGAATTGCCCCTCGCTCTAGGAATATCAATCTGGTAATCACATACGGTGAAATAGATGAACATTAAATTTCTTTTGGACATATGCCTCTAAATATAGGGGGGGGGGGGGGGGGGGGGGGGTGTAATAGGCTCCAGGGAAAGGAAAACAAACATTTTGGCAACATTGTTAATGAGTGTATATCATGATTTTCTGAGCAAACTTAAATAAACGTGAAGTCATTCAGGCATAATTTCAGCATTTTGAATCTTTTGCACCTACTCCGGCTTATGTTTCCCATGAAGTTCAAGGTCGAAGCATAAATTCTGCTCATCAAACTTCATCATGTGGAAATGGCTGAATAAATGTCAAAAGATGAACTCTTCAGTGTGGCCACCATGGCGTCCATGTTTCTAATTGCATCGAAATTCTGTAAACACTTTTTTGAAACAACTGCTGGTATCATTTTGGCACAGTTTCAGGTTCATAGACTTTATTTTTGCCTACCATTTACTTCCTTCATATCCAATTCCATAAAGATACGTGCAGAAATGTTTAACTGGTTGGCACAAAGGTTTATAATCGGATCGGATTTTGTTTACGCTTTTCAGAGATACCCTAGCTGGGATCGCTCATACAAATTTTCAGCTCCAGATAGTATACTTGACTTTCCGTCAGGTGAGATATAAATGATGGAACGTGAAAGTCAAAGGTCTCAATCTTCAAAAATAATGTATTGTATGTTATTCTTCATACCACGTGGTTGCTGCATATAACATTTCTGGTGGTTAGTTGTTGTTATAAGGTTTGTAACCAAACAGGCCAGAGATCCGGAGAGCAGAAGGTCGGTGGTTCGATCTCCTGGACGCGACATACCAAAAGACGTTAACAGATGCGACTTGTTGTTTCTCTCTCTGTAGTGCTCGGCATTGAGAGGTTATAACAAGAAGCGGTCGGATCAGAGTCTGTATATTGTGTCTGAGCTCGGGATACATTTAAAACTGTGTTGTGGTACCACAGTTTGATAGCACTATAAAACCGACTGGTAAATCCTGACCGTTACATGCACGTCATACATACTGATGAACTTTTCGATACTGAATCAAGTACTCAAAAGTGTTTTTTTTATACCTGTGCTTCATAAGAACTGCATCTTACCAGGGTTGCTCACACGGTAACTGTGAGTTTGCTCATTTGATAACTGTTTGACTGTTCATCGTAATTCTTATGATTTTGTGTCCGACATAGAACCAAATTATGTTCATGCGTTGCTTATATACTGGGCGGTTTATTTTCGGAGTCAGTTATCAGCTTCACGTATCTTTCAAAACTTTCTGAAAACATCGTTTGTTGTTAAAAACCAGACTCAGATATAGTCCACCTACAGGACGGTGTTCTGTATATAGAATGGATCAGACCAGAAACACCAGACCACGTGCGTGCGTGCGTGCGTGCGTGTGAGCGTGCGTGCGTGCGTGCTTGCGTGTCTGATGACCTGAGAAGAATATATCAAAACTGACATTAGACACATTGGTGGAATATGTTTAATTATCAAAGTTTGAGAAATTTGTCAGAATTATTATCATTATCATGATTTCAAATCAGATGGGACAAGCTTGGCTGCGACAAGAGCTACTGAAGAAACATATCCCGCTGTCATGTTTTTGGAGAAGTGAACCTGTACCAGGTTAGGCCCGGTGGCAAACAGTGAGGTAGGGACTACAAACTCCCAAACTTGCCAATAGGTGGTGCTGGTAAACTTGTCGGAATCATACAGCTTAAAGAAAGAGTCCAGGGGATGGAGGTTAAAGGTAAGATGTGATACACTGTTTGTTTCATTGATCGGCCAACTGGTTGAAACTCTCAGTCTTGCACTGTAAAATTGGCTACTTGGTAGATTTATTGCTGTCACAGTGACGTTGCCCTTGATTGGTAAAAGCATATCAACGCCGTAGAATGTGGTTTCGTTGAGAGTGACTGAAGGCAGTTTGTTGGAAGGGATCTTGAATGTAAACTGACACGTTGCTTCAGGAGGAAGTTCAACCACTCCTTGAGTTTTCTGGATGTTGATGGGTTCATTGAAGGTGATGACTGGGAACCAGTCGTCTTTGAGTGTGATACAAGTAGCTTCTCCAGTGGTTGGTGTGATCCAGTTCTTTTGAAAAACTAACTTGACCGCCTGTGCCATCCGAGAATAGCTATGCAAGAGAATGACGGTTTCGTTAATCAATGGACTGGACATTGCCAACGGCGACACCGTTCGTTCCGCTCCATCATATTGGCTGGTTGTTCTTAAGAAGGAGAAGTCTGACGTGAATTTATACCAAAACTCGTAGACGTCGACAATACGTGTGGCGTTTCCTTGAAGTGTAAAAAGTGAATAGTTGAGACTATAACGTCCTGGCCATTCTTCATTTGCTAAAAGAAACACCACTGCTCTGTCAATATATTCCCTGAGACCTAGTTGGGTAAATCTGTGTGCATTGGCTTGGTATATTGTTGAAAAGTCCACTATAGGCGATGGAGCAAATTTATCACGTCCTATGATGCCGCCGCGACCATATTCACTGATAACAAGGGGGATAATCTTGCCGGTCTTCTGAAAAGCATAGTTTTCAACCAGGTCGACAAATGCTATCAGACGTGCTTCATTTATTCCAGTAAAATTGTGAGATTTCCCCGAAGCAACCAGTGTGTTGTACGCATGAAAAGAAAATACGTCAATATAGCCTAAAGTGACGTCCATGAAATTTGCTACTTTGTGCCAATACAAAAAGTCGTTTACATCTGAATGTCCAGTTTCTTCGGTTAGTGTAGGACCAGCAACTTTGATGTTAAATCTGGCATGGAGTTTCTCTGCAACTAATTTGTGAAAGATGTTGATAGTCGTGAAATTCAGGATATGCCATTTACCATCCGGTTCATTTATGGGCTCAAAGTAGGGTGGAACCATCTGTCCTTTGGTGTAGTCATACACTCCTTGCACCATCAACATCATGAACTCTGCAGCAGCATCGACATTGTTTGGGAAATGACCATCGTGTTCAGACGTGTCTATCCAACTCGGGTAAAACAGAGCTGTCAACAGCATAAGAGTAAAACTGTTAAACAAATACATGTTCTGGCAAAAATGAATTGAAATGAAACAGTTTGAAAACATATGAATGATTAAAATTTAAATTTAAAATAAAATAATGATGTAATAAAAAAATGACTGGTGTAGGAATGAATTAAATACCATGTTCAAGGTCATGGTCATCTTAGTCCTTTTTTTAAAGCAGGTTGGCTTTCATTTTGTTTATCAGGACACACATTAAACCAATGATATCAGTTTTGTGTTATATATAAGTAGGGGGGCACTGGTAGCTCAGTCTTCTGAGGCGCCGCGATTCGCTATGAGGAGTTGCGTCCATTGGGTACGACAGAAACCTATCATTGTGGGTTCGAATCCCGGTTCGCCCCGATTATGTTTCTAGGTTTGCCAGGACCATATCCGTGCTCGTTGGTTTCATCGAAGTGGTAAAAGTCTGAGACCTGCATCACTTCGGGCTTTCCTCCCATATTATGCTGACACGCCGCGATATAGCTGGAATACTGTTAAAAGCGGCGTTAAACCCAGCTCACTCACTTAATGCAAGGTGGCTTCATAAGGCTATAAAAAGGGTTTGTAAAATTGATTGTTTTTGTCCGCTCGTAATATGAATTGTATTTAACTCTTGTAGAGCTGATACCATTAGTGAGTTTCTGCATTAATTTTTTATACAGATGGGTTGATACATGAATGAATGAGACTTGATGTGATATCTGTGACATCCAAGATAGGGTGACATTTCCTGACATTACTGCACCACAACCGATGTTCTGTCATTGTTCCTGAATTCTGTGAGAAAATGAATAAAAAATGTTTCGGACAGAAATATAATTTTGAACAAGTGATTTATCTTTTAAAGAATAACAAAATACATGCTTGGGCATAGAATGTTAATATATTTCGTTTTGTTGTACCTAAACAAATAGTTGTGCAGCGATCTACGCCGTCGAGATAGAGTGACATGCTATCAACAGAGCTTGACAATCTGATCCTTACACAGATTGTTGGGGACCAATTCTTACCCAGAATCTCCGCGGGGCAGAAAGTAATACTTATGCATCTTACACTTTTCTTATCCTAGTCTTCAATATCTGCGATACGTATACACTTTCGGCGAAAGTTTTTTATTTACAGTGCAATTTTTCTTTAACATTGTATTTCCATATATAGTACCTATTGTTTACAGACCACTGTCATGTAGCGACGTTACATAACAAACAAACAGTAAACAAAATGTCTAACATGAGGCAAGTTCTAGTTCGCAGTAGGATATTTCGGTTTAATGGACGTTGGTTCACTACGTGGCTTCTGCATACCAAGTGACGATGAACCAACAATGGGAATCAATAGACAATCAATATGCTGGCCCAAATATGGTATTCACGATTACCCAAGTGATGTCTGCTACCAAATTTCCAGCGAACAAACAGAATAACACGGTGGTGATGTAAACATTATATTGGTTTGTTTTGGCCTTATCCGCTTATGTTGGGTTCCGCCATGGCTACAGTGCCATCATATCGAACAATCTTACCTTCCGCCATCATGATCATGTCGTTCTCATAACCACTGTTGATGTTCTCAATGTACGCGGAGAACAGTTCCTTCTGTTTGGTGACGTTCTTCAGATGGTTGGGGTCAGGGTAGCCACTACGGTTTGGGTCCTCTGGCCACTACAACCAATATGCTTATTATATTAGTAAAAGTGTATTCCACTTTCGTGCCATGTTGTGAACATTTACCAATGCATATTTGCACGGACATTTACTGTCATTCTGAATAGCTGCCATAATATGGCACCAAGAAGTGATATATTCGTTGTTATTGTCAATAGTAAAGAATACACCATCAAAGTTTTGAAATTAATTACGAACAGTTTTAAATTCAATATTTTCTCATTTTAGATATTTTTTTTCATTTCTGTTGTAACCTGTTAGGCAATATTTGACCTGTTATTCTCCCTTCGCCATTCTTGTCAGTTCACTAGACAGATATGGCAACACGTGCCTGAAAAACTTACAATATCTTTTTCATAACAGGTTGTGGAGAAATTCTAAGACTTAAATTAATTTTTTTTCTAATATTGATGAATCTGAGTTTAATCTAAATAGCAGAGCTTCTCAACGTATGTCGAATGTTTGTTTTAATGAATATATACCATTACGTTATCACCATAAATGGTTTTTCAATTTGATGGTGTCAAGTATTTCATTGAACAATACTAGTGACAGTTTTCATTTGGAAGTAATATTTTGCATTATTCATAAGTAGATCTCACATCTAGGAAGAGACGACCGTTATAATCTCTGTCACTCCAGCGTCCACTATCAGTCCGAATGCTCCGACATTTTGGAATGAGGAATGCTTGATCCAGGTTATTGTGCTTGTTCCATCTATTACTATCATAGTGAGCGCTTCCTCCCTGTGCCAGCCATTGAGGGTGGATGGTGACAGTAGTGTCAGTGTATACACCGCCTACTGTCAGACTCAAAGTGAAAAAGACCTGTGTCCATTTCATTTTCTGAAACAAATATCCCATTCAATGATTTCTTTTGTTTACAATTCAGCTACCTGGTTTTATTTTACTTTCGAAACTTATTTACTGTTAACAATAAAACGGGCTCTTAAAATTGAACGCTTAGACCACTAGGCTACCCCACCGCCTCGACTCACTGTCAGATCGCCGCGCTTCATATTACCTTATATATATCGCCAGCTTGCGGTACCTGGTTTCATTTTATTTTCGAAACATATTTACTATTAACAATAAAACGGACTCTTAACATAGATATATGTGGTATAATATCATTCAAGTCAGCATGATGCATACAGTAAAAAATATGTGCATATCAAGTAAGTGACACTGTGGTTGTAAGTGTTTCCACTGATCTGTTTAATATTGAGATGAGCTGAGATGTTAATCATTTGACGTTGGACACTGGTCCCTTACAGCATACACAAAATACATTGATTATATCCATTTATACCACGTGTAGTTGGCGCCATTTGAACATTTTGGTACTTTTTAATTAAAAAGAGATGTCGATTCTTTGTTATATTATACAATACCTTACCTCTACAATAATAATGTATTACACAAATGATGTGAGAGAGACTTGATCGGGGCTTCGGACAGGCAGGTTGGATGACTAACGCTTCGAAGATGCTCCATGGGCATTGCGGTCCGATTATCATTGCGCAGCTGTATTTTTTGTATAACGAATAAAAGTGTTTGGGACCCAAAGTTGGACTGCAGTGTTTGAAAGACAGACATCCAAATCCATTTAAATCAGTATTCCTAACCTGCCCAGCCGCTGCATTCTACTTTTTACTCTAAAGCGAATCACTGTCAGACCGGCACGTGTCACATTACGTTTCTTGCATCGCCAGCCTGCAGTATCCCGCACCTCATTCACAAAGCCAGACACCAGTGACCGACCGGCCATTCTCTGACTAACTAACCTGTGCATGACTTGCTGCTGGTGCCATGGAATTAACGCAGCTGCTGTTATCAAATTTGTGTTGACAGTAATGTGTGTATATATAGGAAACATACAAAAAAAATCCCTCTTCAACCCAACCCCATATCCCGCCAAAGTTTATTAAACCAGTAGTCCTGGACATACATCATTCACTCTGGCATGAATGTAACCTAAAAAGGCATACTCACAAGACGGCCCAAGTTCGACTGGTCTGTACAGAACGAGCTGGACTCCATGCGGTAAGATGTGGTTAGATTTTATGGAAATTATTGGTGACCCTGACACTGCCGTTCTATAAACGTTTGCATATGATAAGAACATGCGTAGTTGGTCATGATCAGGTGACAGGATAGCCTTGAGATAAATGCATGTCGCCCTGTCACTCGAGACGTTATGCAAAGGATAAGTATATCACACTAATACATTAACATTGTATCACAAAGTCTTGATTTATAATAATTTCTCTGTCACATGGAAGTCAACGATACTGCAAAATACCTACCCGGACCACAAACAACCATTACTGTAATTCTCATATGTGTTATTTGCTCGATGATCCAAACGCTTGCTAAGGAAAAAACGCATAGGAGGCGACAAAGGAAATGTGGGCAACCCCTAACCACCGAGGCCATTGTGTTTGTTCAACCTGTCACTGTCGCCTTATTATTTTGTTTGACAGCTCGGTGGCTTGGTTGATAGTGTGTCTATGATGTATTATCAGCTAAAGGGGAGAAAGACCAGTGTCCATTTCAATACAACTTAAATGTAATGACTTACGGTACTTACTGTTGACGCCTTATTATTAAGTTTGACAGCTCGGTGACTTGGTTGATAGCATGTCTATTGTGTATTATCAGCTCAAGGCGAGAAAGACCAGTGTCCATTTCAATACAACTTAAATGTAATGATTTACGGTACTTAGTGTTGACACCTTATTATTATGTTTGACAGCTCGGTGACTTGGTTTATAGCATGTCTATTGTGTATTATCAGCTCAAGGCGAAAAAGACCATCCACCATTTCATGACGCAGCCTGTAAATAATCGAATATGAACAATCCAGTCATTGATATTATGAGCAACGATCCCGCTGCAAGGGTACGTTTACAAGCCATCAGCCAAGTCCCCGACCCTGACCACCCGATCCATCAAGTTTCCTCTGACCATCATCATAGGTGGACCAGTGTGCATTTCATTGTCTCTGGAATTTAATATATCTTCATGAAAAGTTGAAGTGATGTGTCTTTATAGTTAAAATAATTGGAACTTGACATTCAAAAATGTACATGATAAAGAATGGCGCTGTTATGTAAGTGTGGTGATAACAAAGAAATTGAACATCCACAAAATGCACGGTTCCTTGTCCATGTCTAGAAAAGCTTATCACTGCATTATTTTTAGGGTTCATGTCATTTAGAGTTGTCGATAGGTTCGGTCACGATGCTCTTCAGAGACGGAACCTATTCAGTCTACTAAACTAAATGTTCTCATCATCGATTCATATACATTCACATGCCGTAGATTTATTACAACAATATCTGTCTGTATTGGTATCAATTTGCATGTTGTAACAAACAAGTGATTAGAAGATGTATTATGATTACAAAAAAGTTTATACGATTCAAATTCAAAATACCTTCACACACAATATTTCCAGGATATAATAAATCATTAGGATTATATTATATATATTATGTATTCAACACTTAAACCACTCGAGGAGCTCATGAGTGCATTTAAAGTAACATTTTCTACAGTTCTATGTAAACTCAGAACTCAAGTCCAAGCAGTGTCGTATCTTCTACTCTACATCAGTTCCGAATAAGTTGTCACAATATTCCTGGTGATTTCCGTCACATATTCGAGACCCGTTAAGGAGGCTTTGAAACTGAAACACTGATTTCATTTTCCCCTTTGTATATTGCATTGAACGAAACGTAAAACTAAAGAGCTTATAACTTTCTTATGGAGGTTGCAGAAAAAATTGCATTACATTCTTGTACTGCATTTCGCATGTATTTTCCCGAAACCGAGAGTAACGTCATTATAACGGAAGTCCTTATTAGTTAGGGGAATGGGACTTTCTGTTTGAAAGTTGTATTGGGCATACATTTATATAAACCGGATGTGCATGATGTTAAATTTGAAGTGCCTACAACTTTGTTATCAAGCTATTTAGAAGCAAAGGAAATCTGTTTGAAAGGTGCACTGCATTGGACATGTGCTTTCCCGAACTGAAAGTGATTTTACTGAACCGGAAGGGTTTAAATCTTTGTTTTTATGCAATCTGAAAGCAGGGGAATTTTTGTAAGAAATTGTTACTGAATTGGGCATGTCTTTTCCCGAACCGGAAGAGACGTTACTGAACCGGAAGTGCTTCTAACTTTGTTTGTAACGTACATGTAACTACAGGCATTCATATGTTTCTGTTTCTGTACTTCATTAGGAATGTGTTGTCCAAACCCGGAACTGATGAAGGGAATGCTTATCACTTTAGTATTATTGTACCTCTCTAGCCAGACACACATGTCAAGAGGGCCAAAATTATACAGTGGACGGTTTGAGCCTGCTTGACCTTGTTATGCTATTTTTTCCTTCAACGCAAGGTTAGAATGGTGAAATGTTGCCGAGTATTCAACCAACAGCCCTTCCTCTTGTTGCACAAACCATTTATCTCTGAAGCCATATTTTGTTTCCATTGCACCTACACTACTGCCTAGAAGTTCATTCCCCTTACACGCATGGGCAACGCGTTACGCAACCCGTGTTCACCCCGTTGGTCACCCGTGTGGAACCCGTACGCCACACGTGTGATACCCGTGTGCAACGCGTGTCACACTCATTAGAGGGGGAACAAACTTTTGACCAATACCACGGGCATGTCTACCTGAACCTGGACGTGGTAACAAGGAGATGACTTTTTGATTTCCTGACGAAAAATGTTAATGCACATTTTATTATATGTACTTGCTGATGTTTCATTTTTAGATGTGATTACATGGTGTCTTGCGATGGTGTTAAGAGAATACATGATCATGTTACATGTTATTGCTATTCAAATGCTTTTTTGTGATTTGACATTAAGCGTCTGTAGTACGACTTTCAGTGATCATGTTTATGAGGTTTGGTGGGGCATTGTTTTTATTGGACCCTAATTACTTTATGATGGTTGGGCCTCTTCGTCTCAGCTCCATAGCCGTGACGCTGGGAAAGGGCAGCATTTAATTAATGAGAGTAGAATATATCCTGGAGGATACACTTGAGGGAGAGGGCTATACTAATTACCGTACCACAGGAAGAGACCTGTAGACGTGAGCACGGGGTTGTGTGTAAGATGGCCGTCGCACAATGGTCGCCAGGAGTGGTAAACATTGAGCTAAAGCAGTGTTGTTTTCACGGGCCTGTTGAATAAATTTCCAGCGCTGCTGTCCATATATCTTCTACTTGATCCTGGATACATCATTTTGGCATTTACATTATTATATTTTTCAACGTTTACTAGTCAAAGATTTTAGAGTATTTGTCAATTGTGGTGAACGTACAAGCAATAATTGTAATTTGTGGTGACATCTAAATTTAAACGTCTCATTTAAAACAATAAGTAAGTACGATAGTAAATTATAATATTCAAATCGCATTAAACTACAATGAGACATCATCTGAATATGACTATATATGCAAATGTTACGAAACTGTACCTATCTTCACGAATTATTAAAAAATGGGCATAAAGTTCACGGAGACGAAGGCTATAGATACAATACCATATTTTATTTTTTAGATGATAAAGTACATCATTTGATAATGAATTCAGTTATTGATATCGAAAAACCGATTTTCCATATTAATAAACATTTCATGATAAAACACAATCAAATGTGTGATATAAATTCATTCTTTAGTATCCATAAGTGAATTATTGATATCATATAACGAATAAATAGTAAAAAGGCGCCCTATATATTGTTATTTGTGGACTGTATTAAGTAACGCATTTGCATCACGGTTATAATGTTAATTGCTAGTCTTTTTTCTGCACCATCATTTCTTTCATCTTATGAAAAAATGTTTAAAAAATGGCAACTTATAATTAACTTATGTATAGCATGGTATAAATAAATAGTACACACACTAATTTAATGTCACAACTGGCCTCACTCTGTCACATACAGCACTAAAACTACTATATTTCAAGTCTCTTAACCAAGTTTGAGAAGATGACCAACAGCATCAAGGAACTTGGTGGGGCGGCACCAAAGTCTAACTGTTTTTGTCCTGTCTGCACACTCAGTCTTCTTAATCACTTCTACAAATCGGTAGATATTCGGGTGGCGGTGGGGTAAGGTTCTGTTAAGGCCATGGTGAAATCCCTCAAGATTGTTGTTGGTGCGAGGGCCCGCTGTGATGATTCAAGAGAGTGGTGATTCAAGAGAGGTATTGGAAACCGAGCATCATCGTCAATTGATGACCATATAGTTGATGACCATATAGTCATTAAAGTCTTCAGTTCTCGGAACTGGTGGAGTTGCCTGCTTAGCATCCAACCAGGTGTCCTGGACATCACGCAAGGGCAGGAGGGCAAGTCCAGCAGCTCTTCTGATCCAGGACCTTCCTTGTACTGTACTGCTAATCCAAGATCCTGTGTCTTCCGCCAGATCGCCCGACAATAATGAAAAAAACAACCTTTGACGTCGGCATTCGGGAACTCTGTGTTGACGGCACGAATGGCAGCCTTCTCAAAATCCGTCTGGACAGTGGCAGGAGCGAGGGGACGGTTGAATCTCTGTTGGACTTCTGTTTTGAGTCGGCTGAACAGTCTGGCGTAAGTTGTGGTCTGTCTGTCAGGCAGGAGGGCGAAGACAAGTGGGCACATACAGGAACGACTTCCTGCATGTATGATGTATACCTGGTTCCACAGATCTGGGCAAGATGTAAATGTTCCGTCCATGTATACAGTGTCTGCAGACTGCAAAGCTTGGAGTTGGTCATGGGTAGAAAATACAACAATCTTGACGTGGTTTGGTGGCGTGCGGTGTGGGCTTGTTGTTGGCGCCGGCTGGCTTAACGACTCTATTGAGTTAGTGTATGGTTAACTGGGGTTATAGGCACGGACGTCGGAGAGGGCGACTCGTGTTGGAAATTTCGATCCCGATCCGAAAGTTGGGGTGTTTGTTTACTAGGGCATAGTTATGTTGTATAGATTTGTTTGGGAGGTTCTAAATTCGGTCTATAAGGTCGGCTTTGATGATGAATTGCGTTATGCATTGAAGATGTAGATAGGGTTGGAAGGG